GGTGCGGCAGGAGATCGAGGCCGAGACCGACCGGGTGACGGGCACCAACAAGGGCATCTCCCCCGTGCCCATCAACCTGCGCGTCTACTCGCCCCACGGTGAGGGGGGAAACGCCGGGAAAACCGGGAGAAGGAGCCCGGAGGGAGCAGGGGGAGGGGGCAGATCCTGCCCCCCTGGGCTGGGCAGGTTCGGGGGGGGGTTGGGAGGGGGATGGTGTTGAGGGGAGGGAACGGCTGAGGGAGCTGGGGGGGCTCAGCCTGGAGAGGAGGAGGCTCAGGGGGGACCCTTCTGGCCCTCCACAACCCCCTGACAGGAGGGGGGAGCCGGGATGGGGGTCCCAGGACAAGGGGGCACCGTCCTGAGCTGAACCAGGGCGGGTTGAGGTGGGAGATCCGGAAGGAATCCTTCCCAGGTGGAGCAAGGGCTGCCCCAGGGGAGGAGTTGGGGGTCACCACCCCCTCTGAGAAGAGCCTGGATGTGGCGCCCTGGCTCTGGGGGGACGAGGTGGGGGGCCTTTCCCAAACCCCCCCCTCCCCAACTCTGACCCTGCGATTCCACCCCCTTCCCCCCCCTCCCCACCCAGTGCTGAACCTGACCCTGATCGACCTGCCGGGCATCACCAAGGTGCCGGTGGGGGACCAGCCCCAGGACATCGAGTTCCAGATCAGGGACATGATCCTGCAGTTCATCAGCAGGGAGAGCAGCCTCATCCTGGCCGTCACCCCAGCCAACATGGACCTGGCCAACTCCGACGCCCTCAAGATGGCCAAGGAGGTCGATCCTCAAGGTCAGAGGGTCGTGGGGAGGGGTCTCTCTGGGGGCTGGGAGGTTTGGGGGGGCTGTCGTGGCAGCCAGAGGAACTTCTCTTCCCTCCTTCTCCTCCTCCTCCTCCTTCTCCTTCTTCTCCTCTCTGCCACTTTCTCCGCTGATGGATTTTGATGCCAAAAAGCTTCTCTTCCTTCCTCCTCTTCCTCCTCTTCCTCCTCTTCCTCCTCTTCCTCCTCTTCCTCCTCCTCCTCCTCTTCCTCCTCTTCCTCCTCCTCTTCCTTTTCTTCCTCCTCTTCCTCCTCTTCCTCCTCTTCCTCCTCTTCCTCCTCTTCCTCCTCTTCCTCCTCTTCCTCCTCTTCCTC